GCGATAGACAAGAGGTCATACAAATAAACAAAAGTTACTTCCCCGTAATCTATCTATATCTAAATATATAATTCTCTTCTTGGAGACCCTAGAAAACAAACTGTAAGCGCGCCTTTCAGTCCCCTCTCTTCTTCACTAGGCATAAATCAACCTCCCCACCCCCACGTGGTCTGGTGAGCTGTGGTTCACGCTAAATGTTTACTATCGTAGAGCCGGGTTTAGTGACGGCTATCAGGGGCATATAATTTAGTTTGAAACTATTTTAAACTTAGGGGAGGTAACTAAGAGGAGGCTGCTTTCAGGGGGGGGGGGTGTAGGGTAGGGGTTGGGGTTGGGGGAAAGGAGGGGTGGGGGTTATCGTCCTTAACGACCTACTGATAGTGTTTTAAAGCAAATATTTTCAATGGCAGCATTGGTACTGTCGAATTCACAAGTTATGAATTACTGAAAAGTAGAAAAAACAATAACTAAATAGCGGTGTATGATACGCCGCGGGTCGGCTCGTACAGTATATTTTTAAAGCTAGGACAAGCGCTGTGTCCGGCTTTGATCATAGGTGTTTTGTCCACATAGGGTCTTTGATCTCAGGTGGTTTGTCCAATACTGTCCATATATGGTAAGGATTTATTTTAAAAGTTGCTAAATTATATTTTAAATTTCGACATGATGTAATAATATGGTCAAACAGATGTACTGACATATTTGCGTGCTATAGCACATCTGTCATTTAGTTAACCATTTTATGTATTACATCTTTGACTATATTGTTGGCAAGTTTTGTATCATTTTTTATCCTTTATATATGCTATGTATTTTCAAGTACTTCTACATTATTTATTTGTGAAACTTGTTATATGTCGAATTATTTGTGTTTTATTTCTATTTAAAATAAATCTATGAGGTCTAGCACCAGCCTTTATGTGGAGACTAAAATATAGTTCTTGGCTTTTTTAAATACATGTTAATTTCTATTAACGTACTCTCAGGAAACAGGTATAAAATCGTGTTAATTGTATCACACCTATGATCAAAGCCGGACACAGCGCTTGTGATCAAACACCCGTTGATAGACCACCTGTGATCAAAGACCCTCTGCTGAGAAAACACAAGTGGTCAAACCCCCTATGGTCAAACCCCCTATGATCAAACCCCCTATAGTCAAAGCACCGCTATGGTCAAAGGCCCGCTGTGGTCAAACCCCCTATGGTCAAAGCCCCTATGGCCAAAGCTCCGCTGTGGTCAAACCCCCTATGGTCAAACCCCCTATGGTCAAAGCACCTGTGGTCAAAGGTCCGCGCACCGTAGAAATGCGTGAGCTAGAAAGAGGACCAGTTCTCGTAACCTTCCAGTTTAAATGTTGTAGGTCACGTGTCTAGACTATATTTAGTACACTTGACCCGGGAGTTAAATTATAGACTCGCTCACCCATTTGACGCAGAGCAACGCGTTTCGTGTGAACTGCTGACGGAAGCAGATTACTGTTCAACCGGAGAAAAAATAACTCCTTAAGTCGACGTTAACGGAATTGATGGTATTACTTCCTGAGACAGTACAATACAACTGTGTTATTCTGTAGAACAGTAAAATGCAACACGCTATTCTGTGAAAACATTTGCAACTGCCATTGTTTATTTTAAGTAGACGCGTGGTAGTTATATGAATCGACCTACTCTTGCTCAGAGGTATCGATATTTTGATATATTCTGAGTAAGGGTTAAGTTAAAGAGTAAATCGCAACACGTCTTATATTGAAAGAACTAGCCACAGCTTTACTTAGAGTTAACTGGTTGTGGGTATTGGTAACGAATTGGTGGTAGTTATTGGTATCGAATTGTAGGTAATTATAAGCATCCAGCTAATTAAAGGAAGTGGCATCAAATCGATGGGATGTATTGCTATCGAACTGATGGGGAGCTATTGGTATCGAACTGGTGCTTGTTATTGGTATCGAACTGGTGCTTGTTATCGGCATCGAACTGGTGTTTGTTATTGGTATCTAACTGATGCCAGCTACTGGTATCGAACTGGTGCTTGTTATTGGTATTGAACTGTTGCTTGTTATCGGTATCTAACTGATGCAAGCTATTGGTATCGAACTGGTGGTTCTTATTGTTATCGAACTGATGAGATTTTTCGTAACGAACTTGATGTAGTTACTGTATTCGACTGCTCTGGCACTGAAGTATCGATATTCAGGTAAATTTGAGTAAGGCTGTAGGTTTGACGTAGCTCCAGGGTTAAGGATATTGTGTAGGGGAAATTAACTAAGCCAAGCCTTAACTATAAAGAAAGTACATGAATTAGAAAGAGCTAAGATTAAA